GCAGCCGTAATTAAAACTTTGCTTACATGCACGAAACATTATACTCCAAAACGACGTCATTTAACTTACTAAAAATACCCGGCTTCGGTATAATCCAAACGGAATTCTCTATAACAAGGGCGTTTGATTAATGTGTTTTTGAGTGCGTTATATTTTAAAAGCGAGTTTTGTTTTGAAAACAAATTGAACGTGAACGCCACTTTTAATATAAATTATTTACCAGGGAAAATGTAGCAAAATTTGGCGCTCGTTTCGCTAGCGGATTCAGGTGAAACAAAATGTTAACCCAACTGGATAGATAAAATATTTTAACGGGACAAAAAAAAATGCCGTGCCGTCACGGCAAAAATATAACAAATCATATTTTCGCTTTGAATTTTGGACAAAATGCGAAAATACGTAATCGAATCTGAAACCCTTTGTGAAATGGAATGATGTGCCATCGGGTACGAATGGCAGCCTGTATGTACGAAATGATTTTTTATTGTAAACCGGGGAGACATTTGTCCGATCAATTGTTCATATAAATTTATTAATAGATAAATAAACCAACACAATATCGAACGGGCATGTACAGCATGGAACCTGGAAAACCCTTAAAGATTTGAAAAATAAAATAAATAAATAACATATATAATAAAAAACTAATTTATTTGTATGAGGAGCAATGGATGGGCACAAACGGAAATTCCGTAGCTTCTTCTAAGTTACAGGACCTTTGTGAAAAGCATTTTAAGATCTCCCTGACAACTTATGCAAAATTTAATATATGTTATTTTTGTCGTCATCCTTAGAATAAGTAGACATGTAAAGATTATTTCTTATCTAATCTTGTATGTTACTTTTTCGGTTGTATCTGAAGTAATATACTGAAAACAGAAAACAAATACCAACAACATTTTTTACGACCGTATTGGGTACATTTGGGGACTTGTGGGACTTCAAGATCTACTGTACGCCACTGCCTTATTTCATTGCATTATTAAGTAATATTTCATTTTTCAATTCCACCGAAAATTCATAGGTTCGTTCATTCAAAGTTCTCTATCACATTTTAATAATTAACCCTTTTAAAGAGGCCCTTTAAGAAACTTTACATATTACGGTTTCTATTACAGAATGGCAAAAAAGATATTAAAATTTGAGAATAAAAAAGTTAAAAATGATCAAATAGAAACCCCAATGTATGGATACAACATTTGTTGCTAAAATAGGGGAAACATTTTTTCTTGAAGATTTCGTTAATTTGTGTGCTAAGTTTCACATCAAATATATGCCAAACTTGCAAAAATGTTTATGAATATTTCTTCTGATTCTATATGCAGTGTGTCCTTAAAAAAGTATTTCCAAAAATGAGTTGTTTTGTCGTAATGAAACACCTTAAATATTACATTTATGAAAACTCCTGAAGATTTACGACAAGTTTTGTTTATGGTCATAGCCATATTGGCTATATTCTCAATTGTTTTTTAGTTATTGACACTTGAAAAGTTTTATTTTGAGGCATTTTCTCTAGATTAGACGCTTATAAACAGTAAACAATTCAAAGTAGAGCAAAAGAATTTTTGCATCACTATTTTAGTTTTATTATATTTTTATTATAGCTTGGAATGTAAAAGTCATTTGGCTCTAAGTTCAATTTATTCAAAATGGACCAAAATATCAAATATATAATATCAAAATATAATATGTATTGTATGTATATATGTAAGTAATATGTATGTGTGTTTGGAATTACGTAGTTAAACATTCGATAAATCCAGTTGCAAAAATTAATTTGACTTTAAAGTAACAATAGAATTAATAGAGTTGAAACACTTTCTGAGCACTTATCTCTATTAAGTGCTAAATTTCACCTAATTAAATTAAATTTAGCTTTAAAATATTGATAGGGAACCGAGGATTATATGAAAAAAATAACAACTTGCATATTTAACAAGGGAAAAATACATCAGTATGTGAAAAGAAATATATCGTCAAGTAGCTAAAATCAAAAATATGAAACGAAAAAAAAAAACACACTTACTAGTCGGAAAATTGTAATAGAAAATTAATTTTTCTATTACGCTATCGAAAGTTTGTCAGAACTAACGTTTATTCGTGACAACGCAATCCCGGCCTAGTTTTGTTTATTGGACGATATTAAAATTGATACTTAATAATTGCTATTTATTAAAAATTGCCCTGTGTCTGACGCCCTTAAATTTAAATTACCCAAACCATAATTTTAAAAGAGAGTGTCCCAAAAGGACGCATCGACGCACACATTTACTTTAATTAAATTACAATTCCACATTTTCTTTTGACGTAGATTGCGTACAATGGCGGCGTCTTGAGCGGCGTTAAGGTGGGATTCTACCGGAGAAACTGAGAAACTTTTTATTTGGAAGGCGTTTCTCCTTGTCACAAAAATAAAACTTTTAGAAACATACACACACACAAACTTATTCCCACTAAATTACTCAAAGTGTTCATGTCATTTAAACAGTGTTACATCTTTTGAGGTCGGAACTATTATTGTTCTAGCATTAAAAAAAATTCAAACAGAGGCAAATTTTAATTCAAGAACTAAATTCCATACGCCTATTAAAAACTGCCTAACCACCTAAAAAAACTACCAGTGTTTCAAAAAACGTTGTACTAAACAGTGGTTAATAAATCTGTGTCCTATGTAATCTATCTTTCAGAAGATACTTTGCAAAAGAACCCCAAAAAATGTTTTTTTTTTTATTTCTGAACGATTTAAGATACTTAAACCAAATGTACCAAACCAAAACTAACCAAAACAAATTGGGTGAGAAAAAAAAATTAAGCTCAAAATATTTGGCAATACTTTTATTTCACAGTTCGTCTTAAAACAGTCACTCCCTCTTCGTTCTCTCTCCACAACACATACCTTTTTACTTTAAACAAGAGTACCTCTTTTAAGAGCAAATTGCTGAAAAAAGATCATTTTCAACTTTTTTCGCATTTTTAAAGCGTGGAACAGAAGAGTTGCTCCAACGCAGCTAAAGGTCACAGAGGGTTTCGTAAAATTTAATGAAATTAAATCCGGCTGCACTGTGACTTACGGACCCTTATCAAAATTGGAGTTTCCTCTATTATCAGATATTCATCACCAACTCAGAATTTAGGGTTTAGGCACACGCAATACGATTTAAAACAACAACATTAGGCCTAATTCCTAAACTGATTACCGTGAGGGTCTTTACTCCATTGAACCGCAAGAGATTAGATTTTCGGGGGAGCGAGGGGCAACGCTACGGTTCCTTTTCGTTTCCTATGTGTTTATAACATAAGCCTTAATTATTCGAAATTGGCCCTTTTGATGAAAACGCTCCAGGCAGTTATAGAAAATCTGACGAAGGGGCTCAGCAGCTTGCGTAATAATACCTCTGCTATAACCGTTAGAAGCGGTGAGATTTTTGAAAAGGGTAATTTTGAAAGGACATTTATAAAGCGCATTTTCTAAAATTAGTCCCTATCTGACGGGCGACCAGGGAAATTTAGTCGTAAAACGGAATGATGTGCTTTTTGAAAGCGACTGACACGTAGCATTTTTGGTTACAATTTCAGTGCACAACTACCTAATCTGCCAAAATGAATCTTTTTGGAACAAACAAATAAAACTTTATAGCTTGCAAAGAGGATGACCAACCGCGGGATTTCTATTATACAATTCAGAAGCGGTAATTATAAATAGTAAAACGCATAAAATTTTTGATGCGATATAGCGACTGACCTCGAATGATTGTTTTCACAAAATGGAGTAATTTGCATTTAAACATTCATTTTAAAAGATTTATAAAAATAAACAATTTTATGGAGGAAATAATTTATCTTCGACTGAATGTCTACAATCGCCTATTTCATTTTAAAACACCAAAATACTAAAATGAAAATAACCCTTACTATTACTATTATGATGGTACACAAAGTAACAAAAATATTGTACGGGCAAAAATAAAAATTGAGACCCTTATGATCATCTATTGTAACTGTTATATTATGACCAAATTTGTATAACACTCATAAAACACCTAATTCAACAATATTGTATTTTACAAATATAAAAGTTAATTGACTTCATTTTTGTTTTTAAAACTGAGTTTTGGGTAGTTAGGTAATCGGTTAGTTTTTTATTATATATATATATATATATATATATATATATATATATATATATATATATATATATATATATATATATATATATATATATATATATATATATATATATATATATATATATATATATTTTGTTGATTTTGATCAAATTCCATTCAAAAACTAAAAACCGCGCTTTCTGAGTTGAACCCAAACTAACGTATGACTGCATCATCTAGCTGCAATTGTACAGAGCGGCGTGAAATTCCATTAACCGATTTGCATATTAATAAAAGCAAACAATAATGGAATGTAATTGTAGGGCAGAACTTCAATAACGGTGCAAACTAAATTTGTTTTCCAAACAAATCGAGGGTTAACTGAATTTTACCCGTCTCAACATATTTGTTCTCTTCTAACCCCAATGTGATTAACATTTGTTTTTTTAAAACAGCCTTATTGTCTTGATATCGCAATATAATCGCATATAAAATAGTATTTTACAATCACTGCATAGATATTCCTGTTTCTATAACAGTCTATTGCAAATGCAAATATTAGAATATTAGATATTATTATAAGATATTTCTTTACCGAGATGCTTTTGATGCATTTCGACTATAGCGCCTAACTTGAATTTTATTTTTTAATTAAATGTGATAAGCAATCACTCAATTTGCATAAAAAAAATAAATAGATAATGATGATTAAGGTGAATCAGTAACCAGTGGATAATACATAGTTCTTCAGCTAGCAAAATCACATTCTAAACGCGTATATATACATATATCGCTGCCAGTTACTCTTTCAAGTAATATTTTGTTTAACGATGCACAATAAACATTCCATTACCAAAAGAGTGAGAAACGTCGAAAATTATGTGCTCCACCTACCTGCACCTGACCGAACTCATCATCCCCTTCGGTCTGCAAGCCACGCGTAACAGTTACCCTTCCCGAACTCGCGATTCCATCGATCGTAGGCGGCGGCGGTGGCGACACTCCAGCGTGATTGTGTTGCGTCACGCCACCTGTCTCCGATCGTACAAATTGAATGCGGCCGGCTTCAACGCAAATATTGGGCGCCAGAGGGAGGCACCGTGGTGGAGGCGGCGGCGTGGAGGGGCAATCCGCCGCCTCCAGCGGATGTTTCTCGTAACCGACGATGTGATGGGAATCCAATACAGGGTGCACTTGGTGGGAGCGTAGTTGGGGTTTGTCGCCGTCGAGGGAGCTGGTGTCGCAGCCAGAGGAAATTCGAGAACCGTTGCTAGATCTGGAACGAAATGTCACTAACTTAGTACGTCGACGACGGATTTATAGATAAGACAAATCGTAAATTGAATACTTGTCAATTAAACCCCCAAATTTAAAATTTTTGCTACGTTTAAACGAAGTGGATATTAGATAAAGTAGAAACTAAGCAATTTACTACTCATGAACAAGTACCTAAGTACAGAGTTATATAATAAAATTTAGAAACTTTTTTTTATTTCCACGTCTTATTGAAAAATAATTTTCTGCGTTCTTTACATTGGTAGCGTCTAGAATTTATTTATAGTTTTTTTTTAAATAGATGGTTTCTAGAAACTGTAACCGCTAACTAGAATAGATTTTAAAATCGCAACCAATCTGTGATCCTGATTAACCTGCATTGTCTGATTTTAAATAATAAAAGATGAGCTTTGACGGGTTAGAAAATCTACCTTTTACCAGAATAAAAAAAGTGATAGGACAAATTATTTGTTGTCATCTCTGTTCTGAGAATTACAATAATGAAAATATGATAAACGATAAAGACACGGATATTGGAGACCTCCAAAATAGTAATTGAAGGATGGATAGGTTTTGTTAATACCTCGTGAAATAAAAAATGCGGCAGTAAATCGCAGAAATGGAATCTATTGAATTGGGTAATCAATAACGTAATAACTGTTGATAAAAAAGGAGGTATGTTGACAGATCAAATCAAATAAAATCTTCAAATTTTCAATATTTTGGCTCAGATAATCGAATTTTTGATGTGATATGAACTCTCATACCAACGTTTGACGTAACCTTGAACGCGTCGCGCTTGAACCGCGTGTCTCAATTTTATACAGAGCTCGCGAGGCTACCTCAAGCCACCAGACGCAGGCTCGGGGCGATCCATTTTCTGTCAGTTTTTGGCGCGAACTCAAAAGGATTTGCGGCAGGCTTTGCAGTAGGCAATGCAGTTTGCTGTTTACAAATTATTTAAAAATTTGTGAGAAGTCAAGGACAAAGAGCACTTAAAAAAGATGTTTATTTAATGAACTTAATTGCAGTATTAAAAGTATCATGGCATAAAAGTAACAAAGCTGTTTGTTCTTCATCAGGAGGTCGTACCTCCTTGGCTCAACATGCTAAACCACCTACCTATCCAGCGAGGTGTTACACATGGGTGCGTACTTTCACCTGCACTCTTCAAATTATATTCACAGATAATATTTCATCGGGCTCCTTGGGAAAGGGGTTAGATAATTAATATACTCTTCGTGGACGATACAGCAATCATGGCTAAATCCCTGCAAGACCTACTACTGGTGAACAGGGTCAATAACGAAAGCATTAAAATGAGACTTACAATAAATACTGTAAAAACTAAATTCATAATTGACTTATATAACTTCAGACCTAGACCAAGATCACGAAATAAGAACTAAAATCGAAACTGCGAGGCTTTCTTAAGATTTAAAACACTATTCAGCCACAAAAATCTATGCCTTAAACTAAGATTGAAGTTTATTGAGTGCTACGTGTGGACACAACCACTGTATGGAATAGAAACTTGGACTCTCAAGGTTTAGACCATCAAGAAACTAGAGTCTTTTGAAATAACTGTATGGCACAAACTTAAAAACTTAAACATTCTAAGACGTAATAAGTAGGAACTACTACAGACCATCATGCAGGGACGAGTGCAGAAAAAGCATAGGAAGAAAGAAGACACCCTCGCTAAGAAACATCAGTGACTAGGCTTAGGAAAGTGCAGCAGCTGATTTCACGTTGCAAGAAACAAAGATGCATTTAGAAAAGTGGCCACCTCCGAAGAAGAAGAAGGCTCAAATTCACTTAAATGATGATGCACAATGAACATTGCTTCTAGAACGACAGAAACAACAAAACTAAATTGATTAATTTTGCATATTTATTTATCTCTTCAACTAGATTAATGACTTAGTTTAGTTGGGAATTGTCGGCATAACATTAATCAGGTATTAAGCTATCAAGTGTCCGAAATGGAATTATTTTTCAATGAGATTTAATTTGATTGACGAGTTGCATCAAGGGCTCGTTTCTGTGGTGACGTTTCTTTAATTGAAGTGTGCATATTTTGGTTAGTTTCCAGTTTCTAAATATCAAATGGTGTTACTTCCGTGTACTTCGCTAACCGCAAATGAAGTTATAACAGCAGCGTCGTAAATCTCGATAAGGCAACACACCCTAATCGACTTTTCGCGTCGGCAAACTTCGCGACCATCGATTAATGCTCGAATAAACAATATGGAACAAATATCCGTGAAATGCATCGCAGATAAAATCTGTCATTAATAGAACGCTGCCTATTATTTTATATAATAGAGAGATAGGAGATTTATGTATGGGCTTCGAGTAGGTGTTCCAAAGATCATAGAATTTACTTTAGTTTTTTTTTCGCCTTCGCGGTAATCCGCCCACGTGAAGAAACCTATTCGAAAATAAAGGCCGTGCCTTCGGCGTGTACCGAGGCGCTTGTGATCTAGAATTAGTCCAAATCACGCGAACGACGCGACGTTTCGTATCACTAATCGGGACGGTAAACGTCCCACATTAGGCTATTATAAAATCGTAAAAGTACCGTCTGTGCTAAGCTTTTACAATGGAGTGAAATTCAATTGCCTTTTAAGGAATATTTAACCACCGCGATTAGATCTTTAATTTTTTGTTTATTTCGAAAATTTTATTTACGCTCATCGAAAACATTTTTTCAAGAGATCCTCCTCGATCGCAACATGGACCATCCGTAAATTTCACTTAATGTTGACGTTTATTTGTAGATGCACGAAAAACGCCCACCGCGTGTTCATAGTCAGTTATCATATTAAAAAAATTCATTAACCCCATTAAATGGTTTCAAGAACGCTATAATCTAAAACCGGGTTTCCACTGGAGGAACACTGAAGAACTTTTGTGTTGCTGTTGCTTGTTCCTAAAAATGTTCCATAAAGTTCTTTTGTCTTTCTTTTTGTTTTAGCAACAAGTTTCAATGTTCCTATTTGTTTCCGATTTCCATTCTGAGTGGCAAATTTCAAAAGAAATTCAGCAACTAGTATTTCAATATGCCGTTTAACTGGACGAATGAATTAACTATTCAACTGATTGAAGATTATAGACAATGTGAGTGTTTATGGGATTCAAAGCATATAAAGTATAAATGTAGAAATGCATAACATGATGCTTGGTCAACACTGGCAGAAAAAAACTGAACAGACATAGCAGAACTTAAACGGTTCTACAGAGAAAAAACCACCGTTTACAACAGTTTGCTCTTTTTTGTAGACAAAAACAAAGTTCGTAAATGTCCAGGGAAAGGAATTGTTTCAACTGAGGTAAGTATTATTTCACCTTATTAAAGAAAAAGCAATAACATAATTAAAAGTTATTTTGCCATGGTAGCATTCCGTCTCTAATTTTCAACTTTCCAACTTTGAATTACGCGGTTGTTATTTTAGTGATGTTTAGTGATGTTGCCGTTTATTTCATTTCTCCATGAGCCTGGAATTAGTTCGCCTGTGTCTTTGCCTTCAGAATCCAATGTGCCGGCGGGTGAATATGATTTTCGAGAACCTAGGCTAGTTCTCAAAAAGTTATGGAGATATACTTAAGATCTCACAACTAGTTCAACTTTAAGGGGTTCAAGTAGCATTGGTTTTCTCAACACCGGCACATTTTGGAAAATTCCAAAAACTGGCGAAGTGATGTCCTATGTGTTGCCACTCGTCGCTGGTCCGAGGCATCTGAAAATGAAAATAAATAAAAACTTAAAACAAAAATTAACCGACCTACATATACTAAGTATAAAATAATTTTTTTCTACAATATTATTTTTTTAAAATGTGATTTAGTTTTTTGGTAGACTACCTATTTTTTATATTCATTAAATAACTGTTAATAATGCACAGAAAAATAATGAATACGATAACCATTTTATATCAAACTCAAAACATTAATTATAAAAATCTCTTGTTTCAGGATTATGATACATCGTCTAGCAATGATGCTGATGGAAAGTAATGATAAAGAAGCTGCTACTGACGAAAATATTTCGTCCATAATTGAGGAACCGAAAATAGCCACAAAAAAAAACAACGAACGACGAAGGAAATAGAACACCACCTTCAAAAAGTGCAGCTGAACAAAAAAGTCCGAAAGCAAAGAAGCCTGCAAAGAGAACACACAGTGATGCGCAAAAGATGAGTGTCAAGAAGAGGCCTATTTGATAATGAAACAATTAGAAAGTAAGAAACCGCGTAGTCCATTCCAAATTTTCCGAGAATTGGCAGCTCACAAAATAGAAAGGCTTCATGAACTCCAATATCCTTTATGAAGCATGTTTGCGAAAATATAATCAGCCATTACACTGGAATTCATCAGCTGCCTATTTCTACCCAGCTGTGAGAACAACCATCTACCTTATTCAAACGCTTCTTCGTCATCCGCACTCTCAACAATACCTATGCCCTCACCAACTCCTTCATGCAACTATTCTTCACAATCACATCAAACAACCAATAACCTTCCATCATCACAACCATACAAATTTTCATCTATACAGGTTGAGCAACCAACGTTATCGGATGCCATAGTGGAAGTCATGTCTGACGCAAGGTTTACCATGCAACTATAATAATATATATGCATGTGTCCTGTCTGTATTAAAATAAAAAATAATAATTCCACAAGATGTTTTTATATTTATTAGAAAATACTTGAGAAGTTACTTGGCAATAGATCTTGCGTCGATATTAAATAAAATACGTAGAAACAAAATTGCATACATACCTTTACTTTATCTTAAAGAACTTCTGCAATAGCTTTTCAAACTTCAGATATTATTCTACTAATTGACGGTACCGAAATTGGGAACAAAAACATCAATGAATGGTATGAGGAAGTTTAACGTAACAAGCAATCGCTCTAGTGGAGAAATGGCTTCTCTAAAATTTGTGTCTTTTTGACACAATAACCATTCATGGTCGGTTATGGACATTCGTA